GTACACGTTAGTCATGGCAACGAAGAAGATTTGCAACTGTAAAATTGCGACGGAGATTTGTGAAAACAGATTGGGATAGTGTACGGAAGATGAAAAGAAAAAAAAAGTTTGCACAAAATTTTTCCCATGCTTAGCTCGGCTTGGAAAGTGTGAATGAAAATCCGGAAAATGAGGCATCGTGACCAGCCAGCACTGACACCGCTTCTTCTCGGAATCCACTGGAGCAAATGGAAAAGCAGCCACCAGATTCTCACACAGACACTTCATACCGACCCCTGGAGGCCCTGAATTTGGGGGCTGGCTGGCTGGGGAGGGGAGCACGATCAACCCAACAAATCCTGGGCTGGCTGGCTGGCTGGCTTCTTTTTTGGGGCTGGAGACCGCTTGAGATGTGGGAAATTAACAATGATGGAGGCCGCGCAAAAATGGAGATGGGAGGCGGTCGACAAGCTCCACGTATTCTGTATTCTTTTCCATGAGAGCTTCCAAACGTTCTATGCAGGGGATTGAGGGAAGCAAAGCGGAACCACTCGCATTTGCACGCCCCCTTGCCCCCCTTGCTCCCCTTCTTCAAGGACTCCAGCCTTTTTTGTCCTCTAGCGAGATCCCAATTTCCCCTTCTCCATGTCGAGGGAGCTGCTCTCTCACGGTACTGCGGGTCCGCGACCTCGATGTTATCAATTTGCTGGTGGTTGATAATCCGCAACCCTGGGCGATTTCCTCGGTTCGTTCGCTTCATTATTCCCGATTTCGATGCTGGCGATGAGAAAGTCCCTAGTTGACCCCCCAGGTGCCTTGCCCTGCCCTGCCCTTTCAGCCTGGTCTGATGCAAGATACGATTTGCTCCCACTCCGAACCCTGGGACGGCGCTTGATGACAGGCAGATTTTCTAATTTGATGATGATGCTCTGCCCGCTATGCGAAGGCCCCCGGCCAGCTTGGAGTCCTGGAGTCCTGGAGCATTTCGAAGCTAGCCTGGAGAAAATCGTACGTTGCGACCCCCAGGCCTCAGCTTACTGTGTCTGCGACCCTGGGTCAATAGGTAGGCTACCTCAACAACAGCCAGGGGGACAGGAGACAGGGCCGCGCAGGCTGCAGGCTACAGCAGCTATCTCGCACCCTGACGTGAGGTATTCGTAAGGTCAGCATCAGGCTGGGGGCGCAGCGGTGCAGTAGCGGCAATACGCGGGCGCTGTTGAGGTGAGAGTGAGGCCCTGGAGAGCATATCAAATTTAGCAGCGTCGATGGTTAGGTAGCCTTCCATTCGAAGGCAACGTTGACGGCCGGTACATTGGCCTTGTACGACGCGAAGATGCGCGGGCGCGGGCGCGGGCGCGCGGCCGGAAGACTGCAGCATCTCGGAGGTCAGAGGCCCGCAATGATGGGAGCCCGGGGGGATCTTCTGTACAGACGGCCGTTTGCAGATATCTCTGGTGTTTTAGTTGTCGTCAAATATCATAAAGTTTTCGTAGAGCTTTGGTGAAAGGGCTACGGACGTAACGGACGGCTCGAACGGGGGGCTATGCTATGGACTATCGGCCGGGAGGACGGGATTGCGCGGGAGTGGCACACATCAACGTCGTCACAGATCGTCTGGTGTATTTCTATTTTCCTTTGACGATGAGAATTCCCAATTGGTGATTTCAGTTTGGACAGGACAATTTTTAGGTACGCTCCGGCAGCGACAGGCGGCTCTCAGAAGTTTGAATGTCAAATGTCGTACGCGTTTGGATTGGGAGGGGCCTTTTGTCTGAAGTTGCAAAGGTTGAACGGAGTCTATTCAACCTTTTGACAACTAGCCAGGCACCGCTTTGAAGTTTACGGCCGCCCTCCCCCCCTCCCTTTCCCTCGGGGACCTGAAAGGAAAAGAGAGCAGCGGGATGATTAAGCGGAGAGGGAGGGTAGGGTTGTGATGGTTGTGGTGGTGGTGGTGGTTGTCAGCGCGCATACGTACGCTGTTGGCTCTTACTCTGACACGCACGGCGAGTATTCGTTGTCGTCAACTCAAAAATATTGGCTTTGTGTGCGGCCGTGTTGCCGGTTGATTGATGAATCGTCTGAAGATGGTCGCAGAGAAAGGGGAGCTCTGATCGGACTGTGGGTTGCGTGCTCACTGCTGCTGCTCTGCCCGCTGTGTTTGGGGGTGGTGGGTTTGAGCGGTGAAAGGCAACTAAGGTAGGTACTTTACTTTACGGGTAAGGTGAGCGTCGCAATCTCCCAGACGGTTTGAGATTGAACCGTACGGAGGTGCCGAATCGGTTCTCCTTTCTGTGCCCTACGGAGTATGGATACGTATGCACGTCGATCTGAACGGTACGGGTGGTACGGAGTACGGCAGCAGCAGCAGGAGCATGACCATCTGCCGTTTTCTGGAAATATGCTGGATATGACCGCGAGATTCTGGTGGATACGGTCGTGCCAAGGCCTGGGTTGGTGTGACAGGGGCAACACATGCTCTGGACAAGGGGCCCCCCCTGTGCGCGTGCTTGTTTCATTTCCTTGCGTTGCGGCGGTCAAGCCCCACGGTGACTCTGCCGCTGCGTCACCGCCAGAGGGCAGACGGAGCGTACGAAATGGGACGAAACGGTGCGGCGGAGGGAAACGGTTGAGTTATAAGGCCGTGTTCGGGTTAGCGTCTGGGTTTCAGCGTTTTAGCAGAGGACAAGCCCAGCTGAGGTGGCCCCCACCGTCCCGGCGACAGTACCGTAAGGTAAGGTAGGTACGGATACTCAGTCCTTCGTACGAGCAAAGATGGGAAAGTGCGGATTACGGGAGGGGCTGACGGAGGCGCCCACCCCCCCAAGGGTCAGACTCAGGCACAGGACCAGGACACAGGCACAGGCACAGGCACACACTCATCACAACACCACCTGCATCTCCCTACCGTAATGCCAGGCACCGCAAACCGTAAGTTAACGCACACACCCACCGCGTCCCCGTCCTCGTCCACGTCCCAGTCCACGTCCGCACCACACCACCCACCACCACAGCGACCACACACCAGACGGACGCTCGCCCCAGGGCAAGCTTTAAATTTGGCAGTGTCAGTGTCAGGTACAAGGGGCCAAAGTACTGACGTATTTCGTCCCCGACGGTATTTTGCACCAAGAAGCAGAATTCCTTTCTTCACCTTCACTTTAACCACACACCACACCACACCCCCCTTTCTGACCCCTGGACACCCACCGCCCTCGCACCCCCCCCTCCCCCCCGGTCCGCTCCAAGAGAGACACCAGTGCCCGATCCAAGGTCAAGCTGGGCTAACCCTTGCAAGGTTTCTGGCTGTTCCAAAATTGCAAAGTCTCGGACAGCTCGCTCTGCAAACAGGCACCGCCAGCCAAAATGTCCTCCCCATGGCCGCATCCGTAGATACATAAGGCACCCGACTCCCCCCTAGCATCGTCTGTCCTAGAATCTCAACCAGATCACCATCGACCATCACCAATCCAGACGACTCTACTCGCAAGCCAAACTAAACCGTTTACTCTACATATAACCTCTCAAGACCTTCCATCTACCAAACAAGACTCTTTGTCCCTCCTCAACGGCTTCTTCGCAACCACCAACACAACAACACCAAGGCTTCACTTAGACAGCCTTACCAACCACAACCACCAACAACCATCACCACCAGCTTTATGGCTTCCTCCGCTCTCGACTTCAACATGCCTGCTCAGCGCCCCTCGCAACTTCCTCCCTGCCCCGGCCCCCCGCCTCAGCGCCCTCTTCCCCCTCTGCCCACCAGAGGTTAAAGAGTTGCCTGGGCGGCGACAGCCTCGCAACCAACCCGACAATGACGACTTCTCTTGTCTTTCGGAACACTCAATTAGCTTACTAGAGCAATGAGTGCAACAAAATCACCGGTGTCTTCGCAGTCGGACAGTCGGGACATCCTCCCGCACACGTCAGGACATCAATTGCGAACGAACATAACCACCACCTCTTCAACAAGCCGGCCCATTCTGGCAGCCCGCATGGAAAATCAGGATTACCAAACATCTCTTCGGATATGCACGCCATCTCCATGTGCTGGCCATGCATGGTCGACCACCACCTAGAACCACAAACCCACACCACCCACACCCACTCGGACGGAGGAAATCCAACTTCTCTCTCAGCCGCCTTCGATTTGACCCGCGCCAGACTACTGCAGCCGACCCCTCCCACTCGAGGGCCGACAATCATCATCTCTGCATCACGATAACGTCCGCCGCGATCACGAGGTCGCAGCCCGTCTCCTGAGTGGGCAACGCCCTTCTCAACCTCTTCGTCCTACCCTCTTTTCGTGCCGGTCACAGAATCGCTTCTCTTCTACCTTGGCTTCGTCATTGAGTGCCTCTGAGCAATATTCCAAACAACTCTCTACTACAACCATTGTACCATCACAACCACAACCAATCTTTTAATCAATGACCTACCAACGGAACGAGCGAAGCATCATCACGGGACCAGGATACAACTTGAAACGTCATCCCTCATCATCATCAACCATCATGTATCAATAGACATCAGCATTGTAACGGGGCAACTCGGGAGGGAAGGAGTCTTACAGAAAGCCCCTTTCAGTTTTTTATTTTTCTTTTCCACTTTGTCGTCGCCGATACCCCCCTTCCCTTTCTCAGAGAGACGGATGGATTCGACGGAAAGTAACGAGCGAAAGTTCTCTTTTTGGGTTTTGCATCAAAAAATCTGGGGGAAAGATTCGGAGTTCTTTCACATTTCTACTACATCAAAGACCACAATCTAGATGAGAGAAAGTTTCATAATACCACACAAATAATTCATCCAAACCACATGACTACCTCGCCTCCCATTCGCCTTGTGAAGAGAAATCAGCCCTGACCTCGAAAAGCAACTAGGAAACCTGTCAGCGTCTGATATGCCCATGGGGTAAACAGATGCGGCTCGCCGGCCTGGGGCGACTTGCGAGACGGGAAGCGAGCCCCCCTCCCCTCGCTGTTGTGAGACAACAGATGGCGCGAGCGAACCATTCGACCCTCATGCCAGATTCCAGACAAGCAGCGTCCCCCAGCCTCCCAGCCTCCGTGCCTGCCGCAACGAACACCGGGCCCAGACGCGGTGTTCCTGAATCTCCCAGGGCCGATCAATCAAATCTCGTGTGTTTCCCCCTCTTCAATCCCTCAGCCTGCCTGAGCTAACACACACCTGCAGCATCTTTTTGGGGGTGGTGGTGGTGGTGGTGGTGGTGGCCTGCGGGCTACGGCTACGGCTACAGAGAGCTGCATGGGGGCCATGCGCATGGTTGTTGGCAACGTCGCAGCGGCCCAATTGGCCGACCGCCATTTTTCCTTTTGCTTTGCTTTGCGGTGTTATTGTTTGATTTTCCTCCCTCTCTCGTTCTGTGAGAGCCCTATCTGCAGGTTTCTGTTGCTGACTTTTCGTTTGGGGTCCCGGGGTTTGAGGGGGGGATGGATGGAGGGGGACTGGGTTAGGTAGGCCACGCATAACCGACCCGAACCGCACGATCCAAGGTTATCACCCATCAGCCATCACGCAAGCACGACAGCACGGCAGCAACCACGGACAATGACCGTTGCTGTTTATCGAACATCGGCTCTGGGGGGGCGGCAGGCCGGGGTAGGACGCTGGCAACTCCACACGACGGCTTGATTTCCGCGACTTACTCGTCGCAGACGCCCAACTTTCGGCATCACAATCACATTGCGGGCTGGTCATGGTTCATACATGACGATTGTCACGGTGTGGTGCTGCTGCTCCACGGACAATCTGGCGTGTTTACGGAAAAGGGAAGCAGACTGGCAGACCGGGTAGTGTCATGCGTCATCGTCAACTTGATACCGCCGGTCTGGCGAATCGATACCGAAGGGGGGTTGCAAGTGCAAGTGCGTGCGTGTGCGGTGTGCAGTGTGTGTGTGTGTGGGTAAAAGGGAAGATCATCTGAGATCTTTACCCGTCCTCGGTCTTCCTCCCTCGCGACGTTCACAGAAAAAAACCTCGGGCAGGAGATGGAGACGGAGACACGAGAGTGGTTGCGCCAACGGCGTGAAAGCGCAGGCAAGGGTGGGTTGGATGGGGGAGGGATTTGGGAGAGCGGGTAGGGCGCATGACGGGCAGAGCCGTAGCGACAAGCAAAGCGGGTAGTATTGGGATGGATTTGGCATTTGCCGCGGGCCCTTTTTCCCTTTTCCTTTGCGTGCTCACTCAAATTCTCTCACAGCAGATTTCGGCGAGGCGGCGAGGGCATATTTGGCATCGTGCTCATCTCGCGTAAGCAAGGGTTTTGGCAGGGCACGCCAGACAAACACCACACATGTTCGTACACATTGGGAGAGGGGGGCCGGGACGGGAGGGACAGGAAAAGGTTGGCGATTTACCGGGGGTGGATGTTGTTGCTGGTGTTGTTCCCTCGGCTTTTGGGCAGCATGCGGGCGGCGGCGACAAGGCCCGCGATGCGCGGCTGTTGGATTTAATGGTCTTCTCGGTGGGTGTATGATGCAGGTAGGTAAGTTAGTAGGTATCGTCGGGGGCTTGATGAGTTTCCGTCGCCTCCGAGATTCCGTTTGCGATTTTTTTTTTCTCTTCCGGTGTTGGAACTCGGTGCGTGCCCACTTGCTGCCCAGGCCGAGCTGAAGAGCAACACACACCGCAACCGCTCATTGTGTAGCAATTACGACACTCTCCGTTATCGTTACCTTGCCTTGCCTTGGCTATGGCCTTGCCCACACCCCCAGCTGAAGAAAGCCCCCAAGAGACCCCAAAGGGAACAGAAAGAAGAAAAAATAAGGACCCCACGATGCGCATGTAACCAGCATCACTCTCGCCAAATATTTCGGCGGCGGTTCTTCCCCCTCCTCCACCTGAGGTCTCCGTTTCGATGGGTGTAGGCTTAACAACCTACTGAAGAAAAGGACCCCAATGACCCCTTGTTTCTTTTTGTTTTGCTGCACTTTACCACTTCGGTGTCCGTCGGTGAGAATTGAGGCTCAGAGGGAGCCAAAACGGACAGACGAAACGCATCTAGAGGGTAAATGGCAAAAAAGGGGAATAATCCAAGGGATGAGAGAAAGTCAAGTCTCACACACGCCCCCCATCAAATCTGGACCCCTAAATTGCTAGTGTTGCTAAAGTAGTCGGTTCATGGTACACAGACGTGTCTTGTCGACGCCGTCGTCTGTCGTTTAGAGAAAGGGTCTCTCTCTCCCTCTTTTCCCCCGTAACGGCGCATAGGAGCTAGGCCCGTAAAAAAAAAAAAAAAAAGGGAGACGAATAGCATGACGGTGAAATTAAATTGCGGCTTCAGCAGAGGGAGACTGCAGCGCAGTAGCATGCATACACGCAGCAATAGCTGCATTGGTGGGCTCCGTTTTTTAATTCTTCAACTCAGGTCGCTGCGCCGCGCCGTCGCCGCCGCCCGGTACGGAGCCGCCGTGGGCGGAACCCGTCAACGTGGTGCGGCAACGCGCGAGGAGTCGTGGACGTGGATTGATGGGATGGGATGCCAGGGATCCACCCGCCACGATGCGAAGGTCAAAGTAGTGTATCTGTAGTGCATTCGTAGCTGTTTAGTAGAGCTCAGCTGTCGTCGTCGTCGGTGTCGTCGTCGTCCAAAACGTTATTTACCCCCTTTCTTGATTTATCCCCCTTTTTACTGCCGCCCGTTGCTAGCAGCATGGCGTGTACGTCGTAATCTAAATCGGGGGGCCGCCACGAACGGCTGTGCGAGCGAGGCTTCAAAGTGCCGTCTAGTCGGTTACCTATACTACGGGACGAGTTAAACAACCATCTCTCCCTTTCGTGAGGTGGGCGCGAGAGAGAGATAATGGGGGCAGTGGCTTAGTTGGCACAGCTAAGGACTGTCGTTTATCTGTATCCACGCCCTGAGACGGGTGAGACGAGTCCAATTGGGCCTGTTCAATTGAGGTTCATCCCTCTCTCCCTCCCTTGTCCCCGAGCCATCAAAGTGACACCTTTGATCGGTGCTTCCCCAGAAAGGGTAACCAGATTGATTAAGCCGCTACCCGTGGAGAAAATTCCGCGACCAACAGCTGCTGTATCGAAGAACCCCCCACTTGACGAGCCGTGTGTTTGAATCTGTGTGAAACAGGGGCGGTGTTCTTCAACGTTGCCTCTGCGCGGGTGGCGTGGCGTCGTCAAATCTGTTTTCCCACCCCGTTTGTTCGTTTCCAGTGCGTCTGAAATTCAGACGGAATTAGATTGCATGCCGCTGTCGTTGGTTCCTGGCGCCAGTGGCGAAGAGATGCTGGGCGTGTGCAACGCGTGTACGACCACGCATCAACAAAGTCTTTAATCTCGTGGAGACTTTCTGGGTTCTTTGAAATGGACGCAGAGCGTTTAGGTCAAACTTCCTAAAGAGGCCGCCGTTTATGCAGGAACGGAGAACGTTGTCGGTTCGTGGAGAACGGGATGCGCGCCCGTCAGTTGCCTCAACGTGGCCCGATGATCTTGCCGTTCTGAAAGCGTCGCCACGGCCGGCGTGTTTTGGACTTCATTAGAGAGGAAGGCCTTTTTTTCCGCCCCTTCCCTTGACGTTTGAACCGGATCGCCAGGGGTGTGGTGCGGTTGCTTTAGTGTACCTAGGGTAATGTAGGTTGCGTTGCAGATGGCAGCAGGTCTGTCCAAATATGGAAAGCCGTTCTTTTTTCCCACTCTCCAGTGTCTCTTGCTGGGTTCCACCACCACCACGACCCCCGTCTGATCAACCCGACGAACCGAGAAAGCAAAGCAAGATCTGCCTGTTGTCGGCAACCTTATCGCCTTATCGTCACGTGCCTCATTCCTCGTGGATCGCAACTTCACGTTTCGTTCAGAGCTCAGACAGGGGTGATCATCGGCGCCTGCTGCGTCAGCGGATGGACGAAGAAGGACCCTGTTTTCCTGTCGCGCCCATCGTAAACGTCACGATCATCACTGAAGGAAGTCCGTGTTCTATCGACGGCGTGCCGAAACGCTGGATTCTTCGAAACAAGCGCTGATCTGCCATTCGTCTCGTCAGAGTGAGTGCCTGACTGTTGACTCATCGGGCAAGCTTTGACGCCTCCATCGTCAATTCACCGTCATTCTCGAGCCCAATCATTTCCTCCCTGGCGCTTAGGACGCTACCCATCTTGGTGATCAGGGTCTTGAGGGAGCCCCAGTCAGCGTGAATTGGATACCTGGGATTAAGCGCTCGGCCGGTGCATTCCCCTGGTAGTGGCCCCCGTCACTCACTCATTCTCACGGCTCACTCACGCACACGCGCCTCACGTCACTCACACACACCATCACGATGGAGCCTCTAGAACTCCACGTTTGGGGCCCGGCCTTCGGTCTGCCCTCCGTCGACGCCGAGTGCCTCGCCGCCATCGCATACCTTCACACCGCTCTCCCAAGCTCCGAATGGTGTCTTGTCCCGAGCAACGACCCTGCCGTCGACACATCAAGTAAGTGACAAGTGACGCTTGTATCTCACTTACACCAACACCCTCCTACCCTGACTCACATCAACATCCGCGTCACACTTCCCTTCCACGCCCCCTTCATCCCACGCTTTTCACACTCACCCCATCTGCCCTCACGAGGCCAAGTCCCCTCACCAGCGGAGCCTCACGAGGCTTACACCGTTGAACCCACGCGACCTCGTGTCCACAACAGCCCTGCAGACAAAGAACCCCAAACAACTGCCCATATCCAGACAAAGAAACCCAGGCACCACGCAAACAATGCAGAAAGGAAACGACACGAAACGAAACGGCCAGAAGCTAACGGCCACCCTCTAGACCGCCTGCCGGCCCTCCACGCAAACGGCGTCTGGGTAACGGGCTACGCCTCCATCGTATCCCACCTGCGCACCACTCACTCCCTCAACCTCGACTCCCGCCTGACGCCGTCCGAGCGCGCCGACGCCCTCGCCCTCGCCGCCCACGTCGACGCACACCTCGCGCCCCTGCTCGACGCCTACCTCTACGCCGACCACGACAACTGGGCCGCCGTCACGCGCCCCGCCCTCAGCCAGATCCTCGGGTTCCCCCTGAGCTGGACCGTCCCGGTCTTGCTTCGTCAAGGGGCCGAGGCGCGTAGCGCCCACCTCGGGTTCGGCAGCCTCGGGGAGGACGACGATGACGCTGACGAAGACGGCGGTATCAAGGCCGGCTCATCGGGGCAGGGCACCCTGGACCGCGCGATGAAGCACCTCCCCGTGAGCGGACAGAAGAGCGTCATGGAGGAGATGAGGGCGCGCACCGCAAGGGGAATCAGGCTGCACGCCGTCACCGTCGACGCGCTCGCCCCGCTGGAGGAGCAGCGGGCAAAAGGGGAGCCCACCAAGGGCGAGAAAATGCGCTTCTTCGGCGGCGACACCGCGACATCTCTCGACTGCCTCGTCTTCGGGCACCTCGTGCTCGTGCAAGCCGTCGCCGCCCCGGAGGCCTGGCTCCTCTCCATCTTCGCAAAGAAGTTCCCCCACCTGAACGAGATGGTCCGCTGCCTGCGCGAGGAATGCCTCGTCCACCCCGGCGCCCTCCCGTGGGCTTCCGCCCCGCCGTCGGCCCTCCGCACCGCCGCGCGTCTGTTCGACACCGTCGTCCAGCACACGCCGAACCTGGGCGAGTTCTACCTCGGCGAGTGGCGACGCCGCGCGGAGACGAAGGCCGCGGGCGTCGCGGACCGGAGGACGGTTGCGCTTGCGGGCGGTGTGCTGGCCGCGGGGACGGCGATCGCGTACGGGGTGTGGACGTACCGCAGTCTGCCGCCGTGGGGCGCGCGGACGATGGTGTGGGATGCGGAGAAGGGCGGCCTGCGGCGGTTTGGGGAGCTGGGCGCCATGTTGGATTTCTCGTTTGGGCTTGCGGATGCGCCGAGGGCGAGTCCGGCTGCGGGATGGGGAGGTGGGGATGAGCACAGGGTGGTTGAGCAGGAGCTGAGTGTCGATTAAGGCATGGCATGGTCATGGATGGGTTCAGGTTCGGCTAGGTCACGGTAAGGCCCGGTAAAAGGGCATAAAACGCAACTCAAAAGTACGATAGAGGACACGAGTGCAGAGGCATTAACGAGTCTCATGATATAAAACTGTATAATGCTGTCTCGATTATTTTGGACATGTCATCGTTCCCGTCCGTGAACCGGCCTTTTAATGCTACCAATGCAGTCCCAAAAAACCATCGTACACATGTATTTCTAACAGGAAGACATCAAAGGAAGTCCACTCTTACAGCCTAGATCTGCCGAATCTCCTTGCCCACCATATCGGGCCGCTCCACCTCCCACTCGTCGCGCAGCACCGCAAACGTCAGGTCGCTGACGAGCAGACTCTGGCCCAGACTCCAAACAAGCGTGATGGCGTAGAAGAAATTCGCGTTGCCGCTGCCGGCGTAGATCCACAGGTGGTAGAACGCCGGGCCGAGGAAGGAGGCGTACATGATTGTCGCGGCGCCGACGAAGGTATAGCGCATGAGGGGGAAGATGTGGCGGAAGAGCGGCAGCATCGCGAGGAAGAGGCTCGTGTCGGCGATGGAGGGGTAGGGCTTGAAGATGGCGAAGATGCCGAGGAGCAGGGTGAGGACGACGAGGGGCTGGGAGCGGATGCGGATGGTCAGGGGCAGGACGTAGCTCGAGAGGTGGAGCCAGAAGACGGCGAGGAAGAAGGAGCGGAAGGAGTCGAACATCTCGATGAAGAAGTACCACCACAGGCCGACGTTGGGGGTCAGGTCGTTGAGGGTGAGCTGGGCGCCGTAGGTGCTGGAGAGGAACTCCCAGGAGGCGCCGGTGAGGAGGAAGGACATGAGGAAGAGGGCGCCGAGGACGGCCGCGACGACGCCTGTGTTTGCGAGGGCGAAGTGAGAGGTCGAGGCGATCCGGCGGGCGGGGTCCTGGCGGTCGTAGGCGAGGAGAAGCAGCGGCGGGAGGAGGAGGAGGGGGTACATTGAGAGGTAGGTCGCGAAGGAGAGGGCGACCATTGCGCCGAGGGGGGCGCCGGAGATGGCTTTCGCGATGGCGTGGAGGATTGCGCATGTTGAGAAGATGGAGGTGGAGCGGCCGATGCAGGTTGCTATCGTGAAGGGGTTGAAGAGGTAGCTGGAGGGAGAATGGTCAGCGGGGAGGGCTGGTGGGAGGGGATAGGGGGGGAGGTTGGCTTACAGTGATGCGACGACGAGGCCGCTCCAGCGCTTGCCGCGGCGCGGAGAGGTGAAGAGACGCGAGGTCCCGGCCTCGCCTGAGTCAGCGATCTTGGAGAGAGCATCGGCGCTCAGGATGTCGAAGAGGATGTAGAGGATGTAGGTGAAGATCGGGAAGGACTTCGGGTCCGGGAGGAGGGAGAAGAGGGGGAGGAAGAGGGGCGCTTGGTGGTAGACGCCGCCATCGTAAGGGGAGACGTTGTGGTTGTAGAGGAAGAGGCCTTCTTGAACTGTGTATGGGATAAGGTCAGCGAGTGAAGTTCAGACATGGACAGAGGAGGACCTACGTCTCTTGAAGCTCGTGACGGGAGTCGAGATCTCGACGCGGCCGGTAAGCAGGTCAGGCAGACCGGGGAACGCAACGAAGAGCAGCAGACGCAGCGCAGCTGCTGCAGCGTAGACGCCCGTCTTGTTGCCTCCCTGATTCATTGTGCCGGCAGTCATTGTTCAGTCCATGACCCGGCGGGAGGCGGAAGGGCGGGTGGAAGAGAGGGGCCGAGGGGGTGTTGCGCGTGGTGACGATGCGGCGGCGCGCGGAGCTTGAGGTTCGCGGATGACAAGCCGAACGGGAGCTGTGAGTCGGGATGGACAATTGGATGGGACGGGGATGACACCTGGCTGGTCCGGGGCGCTGGTCCGGGGCGCTGGTCCGCTGCGAGCTCAGCGAATGACGGCCTCGACTTCAGCGCGGTCGCCCTGGTATTAGTGGGTTGAACCCCTGGAGCTGGGGCCGTTCCACCGATTAGATAGCAGCGCCCAATGAGCGCCCTTCTGAATCTGCGCTAGTCCCTCCCTAGATCTTATCAAGGCGGTGAGCTCCCGGCAGAAAAAATCAATGGAAAAAAAAAGTTCAGAGAGTCGAGAACTGGTGCCCCGCTGCGACAGGAAGTTTTGATAGCTTCTGAACCGTCCAACCACCACCACCACCCTTTTTCTTTTCCCACCCAACTTTGACGACCACCAACCGCCAAGATGGCCAGGATCAAGAAGAAGGGACAGGCCGGAGCGGCCAAGAACTACGTTACCAGAAACCAGGCCATTCGCAAGCTGCAGATCAGCCTGCCTGATTTCCGCAAGCTCTGCATCTGGAAGGGAATCTACCCTCGCGAGCCGCGCAGCAAGAAGAAGGTCTCCAAGTCCTCCACCGCCTCCACCACCTTCTACTACGCCAAGGACATCCAGTACCTCCTGCACGAGCCGCTGCTCCAGAAGTTCCGCGACCAGAAGGCCCTCGAGAAGAAGATCTCGCGCGCCCTCGGCCGTGGCGATGTCGGCGATGCGAAGAGGCTCGAGAAGAACGCCGCCCGCCCCGAGGAGACGGGCAAGCCGAGATACACCCTCGACCACGTCATCCGCGAGCGCTACCCTACCTTTGTCGACGCCATTCGCGATCTCGACGACTGCCTTTCCATGCTCTTCCTGTTCGCCAACCTGCCTTCGTCCTCGTCCGTCCCGGCCAAGATGATTGCGCGCTGCGAGCGCCTGACGCTCGAGTTCCAGCACTACCTTATCGTTTCGCAGGCCGTCACCAAGTCTTTCCTGTCGATCAAGGGCATCTACTACCAGGCGAACATTCAGGGCGAGGATGTCTTGTGGCTGGTTCCTTACAAGTTCAACCAAAGGGTTGTTGGCGACGTCGATTTCCGCATCATGGGCACCTTCGTCGAGTTCTACATGACCCTCCTGGGCTTCATCAACTTCCGCCTGTACACCTCAATCGGCCTCAAGTACCCTCCCAAGTTCGACAAGAACATGGACGACAAGTCTGCGGAGCTCGGCGCCTTCACCATTGAGGGCCAGAACCTCGCTGTCACCGAGCAGAAGCAGATCGCCAACGGAGAGGAGCACCACGTCGACCCCAAGACGCAGGCTGCGGTGAACAAGGTTATCAAGAAGCTCAAGGACACCGACGTCGACGACGAGAAGACGGAGGAGAAGGCCGAGTCTACCGAGGAGTCCACCGACGCCATCGACAAGTTCGAGCCCGCTGCCCCCGGTGGCGACGTCCTCCCCCAGCCCGAGTACTCCAGCTCCGACCGTGGCAAGCTCTTCGCCAACTGCACCTTCTTCCTCTCCCGTGAGACCCCGAGACAACCTCTCGAGTTCCTCCTGCGCTCCTTCGGCTGCAAGCGCATCGGCTGGGACGCCGTTCTCGGCGAGGGCGCCTTCACGACCAACGAGCGCGACCCCACCATCACCCACCAGATTGTCGACCGTCCCCAAATCTACGCTGCGCAAAACGAGGGAGGCGACGGAGAAGACAACCAGACAGCCCAGAAGCTCGCGCCTAACCAGCGCATCCCTGGCAGGATATACGTCCAGCCTCAATGGGTCTGGGACAGCGTCAACGACGAGGAGCTGAAGCCCGCGGACCAGTACGCCCCCGGCGCGCAGCTGCCTCCCCATCTCAGCCCCTTTGTCAGACAGGTCCAGGGCGCCTACGACCCCACCATCCCTCTCGAGGAGCAGGAGCCCGAAGGCGAGGCCCTTGCCGAGAGCGAGGACGACGGCGAGATGGACGTCGACGAGGAGGATGCCGACAACGACATGGACGTTGCCGGATCCGAGGACGAGGAGGAGGAGGGCGACGATGACGACGAGGCCGCCTCTGCGGACGAGGACGAGGAGCTGTCCGACGACGAGGAGGTGCAGCGCCAGATCGAGCTCGAGGCCGAGCTCGCTGGCGGCAGCGTCAAGCGCAGGGAGACGAAGCCCAAGACCAAGAAGGAGGCGGCGCGCAAGGCGCACGCCAAGAAGGTGGCCGAGGAGGCCGAGGACATTGAGCGCGCCAAGGGCATGCTCAGCAAGAAGAAGAGGAAGCTGTTTGAGCAGATGCAGTACACTAATACCAAGAAGAGCGCCGAGGACGAGAAGCTGAGGTCCAAGAGGAGAAAGCTGGAGAAGCAGCTGAACAAGAAGGCGAAGGCGTAAAAAAAGAATCAGTTTCTTGTTTTTTTTCCTGATGTAGACTGTATGTAGTTGGCGTTCGTTATACCATAATTGTGGTGTTGGGAAAAGAAATGCAATTGCTTGATATACATTTGACTGCTCTTGCATTTGTGACTATAACATGAAGTAAAACGCTTCTGATGATGCCTACCTAGTTGTATGGTGCGAGGTGTTGCCTTGCTGTGAGAGAACTCTGCTTCATTTTCGGTGAGTTTCGGTGTAATGTGGGCGGACCCAACTTTTTTCCCTCTTCACCTCACTTTTACACACTTGCGATCAACGATCCTGCCTGCAAAACACACTTTCTTCTCATCGCCAACGAGAAAACCTATACCTAAATGGCATCTGATTAAATCCTCTTGTTTTGTTCTATGATATGTCATCATGACGGCCAACGAGGAACAGTGGGACCTCGACACCGATGAGATCCGCTCAATCGATTCGGAAGAACTCTACGAGACCAGACCTAACCGCTGGAAGGGTAGCAAAGCGACATGGCACGTCTACACGCAGGAGGAGCGCCTCATTTACAAATCGCTCGAAGAAATTCGCAACCGCGACCTGTCGGTTCACCTGTACAATGCGTTTGCGCTGAAAAATCGTGAGACCCGGGCGGGTGCAGCAGAGCCTGATGCAGAGGTGAGAGGCAGCACACCGATGCCGGCTGCTAAGATACCAGCTGCTGATTCAAATTTCACAGGACGCGGATAGACCGCTTGAGGAGATTGTGGATGCTAGCGACTGGCGTCCGCCAAACCCGTGGACTGCCTGGCCTATGAACACGCAGACAGTACCCGGCGACGACTTCCTGAAGCAGACGCATGACGAGGACGATGAGTTCACGATCCGGTCCAATGCGCCTCAGATGCCCAGCACCGCCCTGGAAGACGAGCTCACGGCCACAATTCTAAGGCAGGCCAAGGAACGCTTCTACCAACGGCAGGAAAAGTACAGGCGGAAAGAGGCTGCTGCACAGCACGCCGCCGCCGCAACGTCGCAATCGGCGGCTACGATGTCCGGCGTCACCTCAGACGACGAGGACGACGTTAAACCTCCCGCGGATGATGAGACGCAACCAGAATCTTCCGAGAAGACCCCACAGACTCAACGAACAAAGACGTATGAAGCAGTCGTATCCGCCAACGACGACCTCTCCGCAGACCTCCTCCGCCCGTCCGTCAGGCACATCCTGACCGTGATGGACAACACCCTGACGACCCTGCACAACGCCCGTCTGGCGGGCCTGAGCTACATGACCGACTCCTCCGCCTCGGCGACAGACCTCTCCGACGCGGAGGGCTCCGACAGTGCTGTCTCCCGGCGGTCTCGGTCGCGCACGCCGTCGAGGAAGTGTGGGAAGCGAAGCCGGTCGCGGAGTCGGGCGCCGCGGACACCCGAGCCGGAGCGCAGCGCCTCTGGCAAGAGGGGAAAGGGACGCCCGAGGAAGGTCCAGACGCCGTTGCCGGGTGAGACGGAGAGGGAGATGGTGATTCGGATTGCGAGGGCGCAGAAGAAGAAGATCCCAGCCGCGTCTGATGCGGAGGATAATAACGCTAGCATGGATAATATTGCGGCCATACATGAGAACGACGCCGACGATGAAGACATGAGCCCTGAAAAGCGCCGTCCAACACCGAAATCCCCCGCCAGATCTCCCCGCAAAAAGCGCGACCTGCCCCCCGAAGCACGCATGGAAGCCCGGACCAAAGCGCGCGAGGCCATGCTCGGCAACTGGGGCCTGCGCGACTGGAGCGACGTCCTCGGCGCGGCGTCCCTCTCGGGCTTCAAGCCGGAAGTCGTCGCGCGCGCGGCGCAGCGGTGCGCGGATCTGTTCGGGCAGGGGATGGATATGCAGACTCTCGTCGAAGGGCCGGCGTCTAAGAGATCGAAGCCGCAGAGGACGCGCTATATCCCGGGGATGCGGCGCCACCGCGCGGTTTCGTTGTCGAGCTCGGAGGACGAGGGGGATTGTGTGGATGCCCGGGGCCGGAAGAGGCGGGCGCGCAGCCGTGGGAGGGAGAGTGTTGCGCCTAGCGATTCCGAGGCGAGGGCGGGGAGTAGGAGGCGGAGTGTGTCGCGGTCGTCTTCGGTAGGACTGTTCTTCTGTCCTGTTGCGGGGTGTGAGAGGGCGGCGGAGGGGTTCGGGAGGAAGGCGAATTTGCAGAGGCATGTGGCGAGGGTCCATCCTGGCCAGGCGGTTGATGTGGATGATGTCGAGAGTGAGAATGAGATGTTTGGGGCGGTGCATGTTGATGGGTTCTTGAAGCCTATCCGGGCTAGGAAGGGATGGAGGGCGGAAGACACGGGGATGAGGAAGCGGAAGAGGCATTATCGGGGCAGGAGGCTTCAGAGCGGTGATGAGGGTAGTGTTGGAGGTGAGGAGTCGTTTTGGGATTCTTCTTGAGGGGGTGCGTTAGGGACATGGTATACCCAGAGTAATGAAGGCAACTGATTATTACTGACACGCTCTTGGGAAATATTTCGTTGAACTACGCTTGGTCTACATGGTGGGATCATAAGATCACCCAGACTTCTCCCGAAACTGCCTCTCCACTTCTTTGGCAAAGTCACCGATCGTGTCAAACCGCCACTCAAACCCAACATCCCCCCTCAACCTCTCATAATCCCCGCCAACACCCTCTCCCTCCTTCGTCTCCCCCCCTCTCGAGATCCACACACTCCTCAACCCCAGCTCCTTCGACGGCACATGGTCAGCCGTCAGACTCCTCGCAACGTGCAACAGCTCCCCCTTCTCCCGATCAACGCCCAACTCCTCCTTGGCGTGCTGAAACAAGTACTCAAAGTTGCGGTGCGACGGCTTGTAACTCCCAATCTCCTGCGCAATGTACACGCCATCGAACTCGACCGGGCTGAACTGCTTCACGGACCCAGCGATGTTGTCCGCGTCAATGTTGGAGAGGATGATGAGCTTGTAATGCTTCTTCAAAATCTCCAGCCCCGCGTTGGTGTCGGGGAAGGGCGGCCACGTTCCCGGCAAGGTTCCGAATTTCTCGACCTCTTCGTCGGAGACGGAGACGTTGAGTTCGGAGGCTAGGGTGGCAAAGGAGCGGGAGAGGTTGATGTTGTAGCGCAGCTCTGGCTCGGCGACTTGGAGCTTTGCGGAGAGGGCGTCGAAGCGCTGGAGCAAGAGGACTGGGTTCTCAGCCTCGGGGGTGTTGGAGGGGAGACGGGAGGAGATTGGGGTGAGAGCGGAACGGAGGCCTTGTTCCCATTGTATGAGGGTGCCGTAGCAGTCGAAGGAGAGGGCTTTGAAGGATGGCAGGTCGGGATAAGCCATTTTGAAAGGGGTAAAGGATGGATGCGCTTGTATGATTTTCGAAGCTTCAAAGCTGACCTTTTTGTAAAGATGAAATTGATTTGAAGGTAAGCATAAGAAAAGACGGAATCTTTTGACGTATTTATATGATTGCCGTTGATAGACTGACGTAGACTTAGAGTCGACTCCTCAAGGGCGTGGATGACGAGCGGGGAGGCGATAGCCAGTCAAATGTCACCACCTTCTGATGACAGCCGTCTCTGCGGCCGTATAACTGCCTCCAGTAATTCATTTTGCCTGGCAATTTGAGCTGTGTGATTTCTTTGTCTACGTCGACACTATCCTTGACCGCGTCGAGTTTCAATCAGCTCATCTTTCTTCTGTCTACTACAACCAAGTCCGTCCCGCATAGCGATACCAGCATCGCTAAACTCCGTTGGATCACATAACGCTACTGTCATAAACCGAAAAAGCCGATCGACTTAGGGTTGCTTCTATAGCACCCAGTCGCTCGGATTCTTTACTAAGGTGCAAAGGATAATTCTTGATCGAGGAGGCTGTCGAGAATCGCATCTTTCCTAATTCTATCTAGATATGGTTCAACTACTGAATCCATCCTTGTAATCGCGGGATAGTAGACATCTCAAAACTGCTGTGAAGCAGCTGATCGACTACTGTGTTTGAGACGAATACTAGTCTATAAATTGATTGCATTTGCCGCAGGGAATCTTAGTGTGTCAACGAACTATCAAATACTCCTGCCCCTCAACATGCTTGTGTTTTCTAAGACGTATAAGCGCCGCGATCGATGACCATATCTCAAGTCCTGAATCAACGACTCCATTTGCTTGCCACTGCCGGCCGCTTATTTACGAAGATACACAGCAGATGGAGAGTGTGAAGAACGAAACGTTGATATCAGTCGACTTTGATGGATTCAGTGACCACACCGGTCCATGAGCGACACAGATGTAAGGACACACGCCAGATCAGTGCGAAAAGAGGACAGAAACGACACTGATTCTGGCGTCAAACAAGGTGCTGAAGCCCTTCCCTTTTAATCAACCGAAGCTATCCGGAGCTTGAATATTATTCAAGATACTCAGCCACCGTTCGAGTCATCCTAGGTCAACGCAGCATCAACCACATAGTATTCAAATACACAATACATCACAGACGACAGACGGCCAGGAACCAAATGAATGTCTGCCCCATCGCTGTTAATGAATCTTGCTTCACTAAAATCAGGTTGTCTCGGTGTTCGACGCTCATCATGAGATGAGATCGTCAGTTACGAACCATTACCATCGAATCTCAGAACTTGGGTAAATGATCAGAGCAGACTTCAATTGTCAACAAGCATAGACGTTCATGAAGAGGCAAACAATCCATTGCAGTAACAGAAACGTTGTTTTCAAATGTAACATCCTCAAAAGAAGTCAAGGGTATCAAGAATACCAATAAGCCTACACCCAAAACACAAAAAGCCCAATCCGCCATCCAAACACCCGCGATTGTTATCTGTACAGTTCAACCAGTGACAAACCCTGCCATACCAAAAACACCAATCTCCCAAAAACAGCCAGTTGCCTTATCCATAGTATCGTCCACTTAATTCAAACGGGGGCTCTTCCTGCGAGGTCCCAGACTCTGAGAGAACGATGACGGAGGCACGTTCTCCCGGCCTTCGATGGGGAGCAAGCTGGTCTGCTTGCGCGGGCCCTTGCTCTGGAACCTGGTCGAGGTGCGCTTGTTGAAGAGGAGCGGGGCCGTGTTCTCGTTGATGGACATTATGCTCGCCGAGGGGTCGAAGGTAAGGTTGCTAGTCGTGTTAGGGTTGACTTCCCGCAGACTCATTGTAAAAGGGGGCATCTCCGAAATCATGCTGAGGGTCGACATACGGGTCGACTGGCGCGCCGGCGGCGAGCGGTGGAGGTCTGGGTTGTCAATGTCCGAAAAGACCATCGACTCGCTGACTGGCTTGGTTGGGGTGGATTCGTCCTTCATGTTGGCCAGGAGGGCTTCGTGCGCTTCGGTCCGGGGAAGGTTGGTCGGGTACTGGTACTGCATCTTCATGGGGGTCGCGCCAGTGGGCTGGTACTCCTTGATGTTGGTCGACTCGATGTCCTTGCGGAGGTTGCTCAACGGCTTGCACAGCTCCTGGGTGAGCGGCTCCAGACCATCTTGCATCTCTTCAGTCTCGGTCTCCATCTCCTCTCCAAGGTCCTTAACACGGTCGAAGGTGACCTTGAAGTGGTTGGAGATGTTGCCAAATGACTGCTCGACGGTTGATGACAAGCCTTCCATAGACTCGCCGTGCTTCTCGTGGTGCGACGCGTTCTCGGAGCGGGCGCGGGTGACGAACGCATCCAAAGATTCCATCTGGACGTCCAGATCCTTGAGCTGTTCGTCGACAACACGGACGGTCTCGGCGTGGACCGACTTCGTGGTCTCCTGGATAGTGGTGCTGTGATCGTTTGCGGTCTACGTTTGTCAGTTTGTGATGTGCTGTTGAGGGGACAAGGCTACTCACATTCCAGTCATCCTTCAACTTATTCTTCATCGTGTCACGGGACTTGGCAACATCTTCCAGAAGTTGGCCCTCCTTGGAGTCCCAGATGTCCATGTCCTCAGAATACTGGGTGACGCTATCCAGTAGAGCCACATTCGAGTCCAGGACACTACGCTGCAGCTGAGAAGTCTTCTCAGCCAGGCGAGTCTCCTGAGTCTCGGCCTGTGCGTTGATGAGAGTAGTGATCTGAGCAAGCAGGTTCTGGCGGTCTTGCGCAGCTTGCTTCCTCTCGTCTTCCAACACCTGTTGCATCTGATCAGAGATGTTTGCATTCTGCTCAACAACGGTGTTGGTGGCGGCTTGGAGCTGCTGTCTGAGTCTATCAGATTCACTTCGCTGCTCGGTAATGTGCTTCATGAGGTCCTCAAAAATGCCCTTGAACTCCTTGCCCAGAGAGCTGTATGAAGAGTGGAGCTGCAAAGATGTTAGCAAATTGTTCCGAATGGTGACTGCATGTTTTATTTACCTGGCTGTGGAAGGTGTCCAGCTCACTGAGAACGTCCGCAGCGATGCGCTCGGCAGCACCGGCAATCGCCTGCAGGCTGTCGCCTACTCGCTCCTTGACGTGGTCACGAACAACCTTGATCTCCTCAAGGACGTCGTCCATCTCATCCTTGGACTTCTCCTTCTGCTCCAGGAGCTCCCTCCTTGACTCGGTGAACGACTCCAGCTGCTCATCCAAGAACTTCTGAGTATCGGACAGCTTCTTCAACTCCTCGCTGACGAAGGCGTTCATGCGCTCAGAAACCCCCGAGATGTTCTCCCGCTGCTTGTTCTGGAAGCTCTGGACTCTCTGCTCAACAATGCTCGTCACCTCAGAGACCTCGGCTTGGGCAGTGCCCCAGGCGCTACGGTTGATGAACTGAAGGTCAGACTTGCGCTTGTTCTTGGCTCGGAGTCCGTCGACGTCGCTGACAGTCTTTTGCAGAGTGGCAATCAACTCGCCACCGACCTCGGCCAGCTTCTCTTCGGTCTCTTGGTGGGCCTTGCGAATGTGTGTCTCCTCAGACAGGCTCTTGCGAGTCGCCGCCAGAACAAGCTCCGTCTGGTCAAGAACACCCTGTGTCTCATCGAGCTCAGCCTTGGTGCCTTCATGATCCTTCTTCAGGCCCATGAAACTCGAGGTAAGAGCAAAGAGTTCTTGGACCTTGTTCTTCAAATTGTTCTCGAGGGTCTCCATCTTGGCCGCCTGCTCCTCCACAACAATGCGTCGCGACTCGCTTTGGGCAGTCATCTCCTCGTAGGACTCGTTGGAGAGGTAGACACCGTTGCGCTGCCGAGTAGTAATCAGCTCGCTCTTCAGCCTCTCGATCTCCGTTGCAAAGTCCCTAAGCAGCATCTTCTTATTGATCATGGCGTTAAGCTGCGGCTTATTGCGAATGTTTTTGGCGCGGAAAGCATAGTCGAGTGTGGAAATTGTTTCTTCGAGGTTGCTCTTGGCAGGCGAAATCGTCGCAATGATGCATGTTTTTGTTCGTCCACCAAGAGAGTCTTGGAGAAGTCGAGTGAGCTTGGACTCTCTGTAGGGAATATGCTGGCTGCGGTCGACCAGAGCATTAATGACTCGGCCAAGAGTCAGCAGACTCTTGTTGATCAAGCCTGCCTCAGCGGCGCGCTTGTTCTCGGCACCGGATCGCTGAATGTTTTCGCTACCGGCCAAATCGACCAAGTTCAGCTTGCCGGCACTAACGTAGTCCTCCTCTCCGTCTTCGCCCTTCTTGCGGACATAGGCGGTGATGGTAAATACGGTGTGACTTCGACTACTGAGATCGTTGCAGTTGGTGGCTGCGACCTCACGCCTCAAGCTTCCACCCTGGAGAACCTTGATACCCTCGCTCGCGGTCTTGATGTGCCTCTCCTCCATGCCCTGGACGACGGTGGTTGCATGGCCCCTCCTTGATGTGTCGTCGTAGATCTTAAGCTTGTGGCGGTCCTCTTCGACGGAGATCAGATCGCGGAGCTCTTCATTGTAGAGCTCAATGAAAGAGCACTTGACGCAGCTCTCTGTATCGTCGACCTCGAGTTTGTTGAATAGGGCGTGAAGAACTCTTGGGATAATGCCGGCGTTGTCGTTCAAGAGACCCAGAGTCTCGGTCATGTCACCAGACATGGTGTAGGTCTTGCCAGTGCCCGTCTGGCCGTAGGCGAAAATAGTGCAGTTGAAGCCGGCAAGCATCTGCAATGATGTCAGTATGGTAATGGAAGCGTGTGACTTCACTACGTACCTCCTCCAGGATAGGCTTGACGACATCGTCGAAGACCATAGTCTGGTCCGCCGCGGCGGAGAAGACGCGGTCAAAGTTGTATGTCTTGTTGCTGAGGGCGTTGGCACCGAGGGACAATTCAATGTTCTCGCCCTTCGCGCCGTCTGCGCGGACGACCTGGGCGCTGTTCTCGCGAACCTCGCGCTCATTGCGGCCTCTGCATCTGACGACGACGCTGATGTTGGTCCCACCGCCGGGAGCCTCGTACTCGTAGTCGCGCTCCTTGCGCTTCGTCGCGGTCGTGGCTGTGGACGCGACAGACTCTGCAGGCGAGGTCGCGCGGCTCCTGTCGATTTTCGAAGGGCCGCTCTGGTAACGCAGGTTGGAGGTTCTGGTCGTCGTCGGGCGCACGCTCGTGCGACTGGCGGCGGCGGTGCGGAGGTTCGACGAGGCCGTCCTCGTCAGCTCCCGTCTGGAGCTCATGTTGTGATGTGTTGTGTGGTGAGGTTAGTATTGGCTGTTGGTGGAAAACGAAGAAATCAACGCGGCATGTGTGTGAACTGAAACTTGCAAGACTTCTGGGAACTTGCTAGAAGAGAGAAGGATTGCGGCGTGTGGATGATGTATTGAATGTCGGAGGTTGTGTGTGGGTGGTGTTGACAGGTGCCAGGGTAAAGTAAATACAACATGCGCGCTAAGTGGGGGGAAGCTCTGCAATTGGTCGCCGGAAGGTCCCGTCACCCGGGCAACGCCTCGACCCGCTCCCGCCCGTCTTGTTGTTCTCCTCTTTTTTCTATGTGGACGGCTCACCGAAGCTGGGGGTTGTTCACCGAGGAAGGCCATGACCATCAGTTCGTGCTGGCTTGCGCCCGTGATCAGTGCTTCTTCGTTGGTCTCTTCATGTCTTGGTCTCCCGAACATCACAGGCTTCCACATCTTCCACGAAGCCAATATGCTGAGTAGGACCTGATGTTGGCGTTCGTCGTTATCGCACCTGCTTGAGCATATGGAATGCGGCACAGTCACGTTGGCCTTCAATGATTGACAACCGCTGATCTCTTCGTCGCAAATGCGCTTCGTGTGGCTGTGGTGTAGGCGCAAGGCGCAGCTCTCAAAATGGAATAACGAACACCACGAAGCCTGATCATGGGTGTGTAGAGCGTTATCGCTCCAATAGAGACCTGCCCCACGTATCCAATCATGTTTCCTTTCCCGTTGTTGGCTGCAGCTGACACCCAACAGTGGATGTGCTGCCGATTGAACTCGGCTTGACGGCACCTATCTTGCTTACTTCGACTGAAAACAGGCTGGCATGCCATCGATTTCATCTGCATCGCATTTCCGTCTTCAACCCACTTCATCATTTCAGCTTTCGTACATTCCTCTCTAGTCGTGCGGCTAGTCGTGCGGACCGCTACGAGCGCTGTCTTTCACATCCGAGATGTCCCCATATCAGTACAAGCCTCTACAAGATGCATCGATTCGAATACTCGAGCTCTCTCCAGGCGAATCCGATGATCCACTGAAGGGATGCATCGGGCATCGCGTTTTCATCCCGAAGTGGCACAAGTACCGCCGCTGGGTGCCAATCTACGAAGCGCTTTCCTACGCATGGGGCGAACAAAATGACCTGAAAATCTTGACGGTGGTCGACGACTCAACTGGAGACGAAACTGTCCTCCAAATCGGAAAGAACTTGGCATTAGCCCTACGTGGCCTTCGAAACACGTCCGAATCTCGAACCATCTGGTGCGATGCCGTCTGCATCAATCAACAAGACCAATCCGAACGAACTGCTCAAGTCCAGCGCATGGCAGATATATATCGCCACGCAGATAGGGTTGTCGTTTGGCTTGCTCCAGAAAACGACCATCTTTCTCATGCGATGCACATGCTCGACGAGATCGGGTCTCACGTAGGCCGCGAAGGCAACGTAATCCATACGCTGGAGGGAATGGACAAGACCTATATGGACAGAGATTATCTTTTGCCGTTCAGTATCTACGACTGGCAATGTATTGTCAGCTTAACCAGCCTTCCCTGGTTTACGAGACTTTGGGTCAGACAAGAAATAGCCTTGGCGAATAATTCAGCCATGGTTATAAGCGGAAAGCACCAGATGCCTTGGTCGAAACTCTCTTCCGCAGTTATATACCTGGAAATGAAGCTGAAGAGGCTAAAAACGATCGTAATACCGGCCCCAATGCATCTAACAACTGCGATTTTCAGGAATGTGTGGGAACTGATTCATTGCAAAAATCAAATGGGCGACTCTCTGAGCACTATTGAGTTACTGGATGGATGTGAATGTGCAGATCCACGCGACAGGATCTATGGCATTCTCGGCCTTCAAAATGACCTTGACATACACATCGACTATGAAAAAAGTGTGAAAGAAGTGTATGCCGACTGGGTGTTGGGGTACTATAGGGAACACTCAAGACTGTCGTTCCTAGAGATATGCGAAATGGCTAGCAGCCCTAGCTGGGTCCCGGATCTAGACAAACCGAGGAGTCTACAGCTGAAACGTGTAAATTCGAGAAGCGACGGGAACACGAAGGCGGTTTTCCGCATCTTGTCAGATGGGTTGTGTGAGATGCAGGGAACTCGTTGCGGAATTATCAAACAGCAAACCTCGACTATGTCACAGGAACTGGACCTTGAGGTCATCCAGCGCACACTCGAGTCCTGGGTTCATCAATTCTTTGGTCGAGGTATTCAATCACAATCTCATGAAGGCCTGGCCGTAAACGACCTAGCGGCAACGATCAGCGGTGGCCGCGCAATCGAACATTACCACCTCGGTAGGTTCAGCATGCTGGATGCCGAAAGTGCGCTGTTGCAAGAAAGTAAGGAGCCTTCACCATCAAAAGACAACCGAAGTCCCATCGCTCTACCATTGTTGGCGGAACTCAGTCGTTTGCTTCCTGGTGCGGCAATCTTCGCTACCAACGAAGGGCACTTCGGTTTAGGGTCTGGTGCAGCACGTGTAGGCGACGAGATCTTCGTGGTATTGGGCTGCAACTTTCCATTGGTAATGAGACATGTCGAGGACTCAAAGTACAGTATTGTGGGACCTTGTTATGTTCCTAACTTATCTCATGGTGAAGCTGTCCTTGGGCCTTTGCCGAATGGATGGAAAATGGTGTTCGATGGGCGAGGTCTTGCGACTTTCACTGCACCCGATGGCAGCCGTACCTTAGAGGATCCTCGTCTAGAAAAAGAACTACCTGTTGGTTGGGAGCAGAGAGAAGAAAGCGACCCTAACGAGTTACTTTGGAAAAGAACCGAGGACGAAACATGGTGGCCGTTAGACCCTCGCCAGACACCGGAGAAGCTTGAAGCTCGAAGGGTCAAGTTAGAGATGATAACAGTTATATGATTCTGCAGTTTACTTCTGAGTTTTGCAGAGAATGGGCCTACTTAGCTAGCAAGCATTGCACGATGAAGTCATCCCTACCTATCAACGCGACTCCATCTTCATAAGGGCCCCAGGCCAAATCGTGCCGTCACCTCTCGTCATCTCAAACTCAGCAACAAATCTGAACCTATGCTTCTCATAGTATCTGTCCTCAGTTAGCAACTGTTCACAAGATTACATCCGGTTTCAAACTCACCTCACCAATCCTCCACCATTACCAGCCCAAGCGTCAAGATACACCTCCCTCAAACCCTTCTCAACAGCATGCTTCCTAGCCCACCCAAGCAGCGCCTCCCCAGCACCCTTCCTCAACCCCCCGGTCCTAAAATCAGAAATCAAAACATCAACATAAACAAAATCCTTCCGCCCCTCCAACTCCTCCCTAATCTTCTCCACATGAAACTGATTCTTCACATGGCCCGGCACCCATCCCTCCCTCACCATCGCCATCCCGACAGGAAGATACCGCCTCCCGTCCCCAGCCTCCCGGCACCGCAGCCCCGCCCCCGCCTCCGTCCCATCCTCAAGCTCAACCTCCGCCACGAAAATCCTCAGCGCCTCCTCCGCCTCCCCCGTGGCCTGATACCTCTCCGACGTCTGCACATCCTTGATTGTTTCCTCGACGAAGCCGTCTTTCTGCGAGAAGAGCGTGGTGCCCCACATCGCGCCGCTGCCGAGCGCCGCGAGGGGCGCGAGGGTCGAGTCGAAGGCTGCGACGATGAAGGTGACGTCGTCTTCGGCGGTGGACGCGTCGCGGATGTTGATTTTGGCCATGTTTTGGCGGGGTTGCTTGTCCTTCGACGGAATGAAGAGCAGAGTGAGGTTGGTGATGAGGGGAAGGTGTGACGTTGGTTTGAGGCGCGGATGTTCGTTTTGGGAGGATGAGAGATAAGCGAGCCGGTTGGTTGCATGGATTCGTAAGGACTTAGCTATCAACGTTTGCCAAGTTGGGTGTTTGCACTGTCAATAATCAGAGTACGGAATATTATCAAATTGCGAGTGAATTGATGGTTACTACATGTTACAAGCTCTGAGATATTGTGAGTTTGAAGGCTTCTCACGAAGCAGTCCCCCGGGCGCCGGGACCCCTATCAAAGTCAGCCAGGCTCAATAGATTTGAATTGACATTGAGAACATGAAGCCCGCGATATCTAGTGCGAAGCTCTCAACGTTGTATTTGTCCCATATCATACATCAGATGAGTCTCTCCACCAAAACCCAAGAAAAAGTCCCCGAATGCTACTTCTTGAGTAGCGCTGTTTTTCGGATGGTAAGAGTCTCAGTAGTATCCATAAGACAGTCCCGATTGCCATTCGTCATCCACCTCATCGGGCTTTGATGAGACAGCGAAGCATGTTTCGACGTCCACTGCGACGCTGTGAGTTGCCTCACATCCACGACTCACGTTCGACGCACCTACTCATTCAGAGCAAAGATGGGGGAAGCGCGTAGGAAGAAGCTTGACAGGCTGTAAGATGATATGCGAGTAGCAGGAGACAAGAGTCATTAGCATGAGGTTTGATGGTGGTTGAATGAGAGAAGCTCAGTTGTCGGGCAGTAGCACGAAGACAAGAACAGTATCACGGCTTACATAACTCATTAGTACTCAACTACAAGTCCAACACGTCATAATACAGGATCGTGAATAAGGGAGGCATTGGCTGATCACGTGGGATGAAAATGACCGTTACCACATCAGGGAGAGCGTTGCAAGAGAGGAACGAGCGACCTATCCTGCTAGGGCTAGCTCAAAAGCTTTCAGTTGGCAATCCGTCATACCGTAACACTCGGATGGTATTGTCCACCGAAGTTCATCAGTGCTGCCTTGTGTCCGTATTACGACTCGTTACCCTGGACGGGCTGATTCGGTGAGACGGGCGGAACCGATATTACCAATATCGACTACCCGCGTGTCAATCTCGATGATTTGGTGGGTAATTCACCAGCGACTCGCCGAATCCGAGCCTTGCCTTTCATGAGAGAGCGAATTACTCGGACTTGACAACGGTCTTCATGAGCATGAATGTGGATCCTCAAGGTCAAAGCCTCCCATGCTCAGATTATCAGGGGCTCACCCTCATCGCACTCATAGGCAACGGCTTATGCCAAGGAGGCAGTTCTCCGTAGAAATATAGCGGCCCGATGTTGTACCAGTCGTTCGACAGGTCAATCCTGTCAGCGGAGCGGCCGAAATACCATGCCATTCTTCAGTACGCGGGCGATTCCCTAGCGCTGTAACAACGTGGGTCTGCCGTTGTCTCGAGCATGCTCCTACAGAGTAAGGGCATATCGTGACACGGGACAGCCTGATGTCCATCACGTGTCGGTGCCGTATTTACGGCAGACATACATGAACCGCGATGGTCCGGGCATTGGAGCCCAATCGGACTGCTATCAGGTCCAGGTCTGCCTTTGTCCGCCGCCCCGGATATGTCTGCGGTCTCCCTTAGTGCCGGGCTCTGCGAGACAGATCACCATGACTGATGCTGTCGTTCATGCATGAAATGCTGCCACATCCAAGCAACCCAGGAGCCCAGCAGCGTTGTACTTGAGGCTGGGATTAGGCTGCGTCGTGAAGGTGGTCGTTCAAGCCGTCACATTAGCTGACCCACGCAGCCAAGGCTTGCCGTCGTTGGGCTCAGCTCGCAACCCAATCAAGTTCTTTGGAAATAAGAGTTGAGTTCGCCGGGCAGGGTCGGATTCCAGCAAAGTGGGTTGAAGCTATCTCTGTGCGCTGCCGCACGGCCTAGATCCAGAGGCCATGAAACTGCTCATCGATGCCGGCACTACCCACCGTCGTTCTCGAGCCGAACAGCGTGAATGTTCATTTTGGGGCCGAATATGCTCATTGACGTCAAAAAATCTAGCGGATACGATGCCAGTTGGGTGGGCAAAGATTCATTTGACATGAGCGTTCTGGAAGTTCTTGCTGTAATATCCAGCTATAGAGATCAGCATCGAAAGACCATTTCTTCGAAACAGGATGAAGCTCGAGCGCGCGGAAGGAGGAGCTTCCAATTCATGTTGCACAAGAAGAACGGGCCCTCATATGGATGCAGCGTCTTTCGAGTCGCCTCTGATTGACGAAGATGCCTCGACGTTGGCAATGCGCCAGGTACCGAGTGAGATCGCCTGATCCAGTAGCTGCAAGGGAAGACTCAAAATCGCCCTATTTTTGACCAAAGAGAGGCGCCGGAGACATGCGGCTCGTTTCTCGATAGTGGTATGCTTCGGCGAAGGCACTGTCTCCCGTCCGCCAACGTCGCAAGGGCTGAATACAACCGCACAGCTGCGAGTACTTTCCGTTAGCCGTGATGTCTGTGAGATGAGCCAAGATGAGATTCAGGGTCAACGCGATTGTAGTGGTGGTCGTTGGGAAAACGTGGTTGCGAAACATCAGAAGAATCCTTCCTAATTGTAATCTCGGTGTAATCGAGCCAGCACCATCTCTCGCAGTTACCAGGAAACCCGCAGCTCAAGTGACTCGGATTACATGTTCCAAATCCACGCCCAGTTGAAATCGACGAAGCAGGAGATCCGGCGATGGAGTGGTATGGTATCGCTGAGAAGTAAATCGATCCGTATGTACGCAAGCTGCCGGGGCATTGTTTAGTCTCGGCAACGAGGTTGCTCCGAATTCAAGAGGCTCGCAGTTCGTAGGATCGGAAAAGTCAATTGAGGACGGAGTGATGTTTTCCTGAGTTCACTTGCAGAAAGCGAAGACGAGATACGAATCGCAGGAAAAAAACGAAGTGCGCCATGTCCGGGCTACTCGGCCAAGCTCAACGATCAGGGCGCTGGTACCTTGAAGCGCCTTGAAGCTGAATTAACATAATGCCCGCATTCGCGGGTCACTGACGAAAAGGCGATTGTAGTGGCCAAGACCTGGTGGAGACGGCAACAGCAACGGCAGGACAAGGAAGACGACGTTGATGGCTTCACCATGATGATAGGCTGAAGTTTTCCGTCGTGGTGTGGTCCGGGCCAAAGGTCGCATACTTGAAGGAAATGCGGGACTTTGAATTGAAATTCGATGGTCCCCCGGGCAAGCCGTAAAGGAGGGCGGGCAGAATGAATGGCGTGAGAAGGCTTTTGGTGTTGAAGAGACATCCTTGAAGATGGAGCAATCGAACCTACAGGAATAGGTGAAACGGAGCGAGAGTTCATCGAATGAAGGTCCGAGTGCCTCAAGCGTTGAATTTCCTCTGTGCTTTTCTTCAGGCGAGAGGACGAAAGTGGCAGTTGGAGCATGCCGTTGGCCAGTTGAAGCAGACATGATGCAGATAGCAGTGGAAGTTTCCATGCGGAGACGGAAGAGAAGTCAGTGGCGGATGTGATGGTCTGGAAGCTGTGTGTGCCAAGAGGGGGGCGGCTGGAGATATTGCTCCATGTGCTGGGATGCTTTGAGATGTCTTGTTTCGATGTTCTTGCGTGTGGTGAGCTTAAACGTGGCAGTGTGTCGCTGAGTTGGAGAGCATGCGGGGAGAGATGGTGTCGAGGGAAGTCTATTGGGTATTCCAGATGCGCCTACAATGTTGTACCTTCCGTCGATAACATGGCCCGATGTTCCAGGCCAGCGTTGATCTGAAGACTGAGGCATCTGAGGGTTTGGTGTGGTGCAAGATGAGGTGCCTGCCCTTGCAGCTCGTCTTTCATCAGAGGCAGGTACATGTGGTGGGTGATGCGTGTGGCAGGAACTGGGCAGCAGTACGTATCGAACCTGCCCAAGCGGAAAAAAGTGTCTGGGGAGAAACCGTTGGAGGCAGCTGCCACACTTCACAGCGAAGCTCCTTCACTTTTCGATGCCTCTTCAGCCAGTGTCAGTCGGAGTTTGCGATGGGAATCTGGGAAGGCGTGAGTTTCCCCCCGCTGTTCCGGCGCAGACCCACCTTAAACAGTGACACACGCACACCTCCAGAGGATGACTGATAAGATAAGAGCTACACCCCTGCTGGCAATCTGTGGGAGTGGGGCAGCTGCACCTCAAGCGATGGCGCTAATTCGCCGGTGCTGTTAGCTTCTCCTCCTGACTGGTTCAATGCTGGGAAAGTACCCGCCATATGCGACCCCACGCCCCGCTAAGTCGTTGTCACTGCTGAAGCATCACATGAACCCCTTCTCCAAGACCCGTGGCCATTCGTCTCTGTCTGACTGCGCTGTTCGTCGTTATCGCGGAACTGCCTCCTACACTCTTCCATAGCCCCTTTTACGCCTTACACAAGCACCCGATAGACACATCTTGCGGCCTCTATTCTACCCCAAACAACATCAGTCCCACGAACTTCAACACCATCCGCCCTGAGCACCCCGCGGACCCCACGCTGAGCTCCGATCGCCTTCGCTGATCATGTCGCTCTTCACCGCGCAGCTCCATCCAGGGCGGGCTCTGGGCTTTCTCGGTTTGCATGAACTCTGCCCTTGGGAGAGGCACTCTCAGACACTAACTCTATCGTTGTCGCCTAGTTCTCGGAGCATCCTTGCATGATGTCTTGACGCGACTGAAAGCCGAACCCCAGCGTTTTCCACAGCTCGACCTCGCCTATTCCCGCGACCAACCCGTCCAGGAACCTGTTACCCTGACGCTTCCTGCCAACGGCATTCGCCTACGCTTCGATGGCCCCGAACAGCGCTTGCGCTTGATAGAGATTATCGACTTTACAAAGAATCATGTAACCTTCAAGGATCGTGATCTGGTCAAGCCTGCAAACTCGCAAGGGCCGCCATCGTCTCCCGTCCCCGGAGAATCCAGCTCCGGCCCAACCTTCCGACACATCTACCACAGGCTGCTCGGGCCAACCTACGGCGGAGAGTATATTCCACCTACACCGGACGCCCCCGACAACCTGGGTAACTACATACTTTCTTATCCCGGCGTCGCCTTTACCTTCCGACTCGCCGAATCTGCATATTCTCCCACCAAGGACGTCGTGTCCTTGCTGTCTTCCGCTACCAGCCAAGTGGCCACATCCATGGCCGTGTTCAGTGGAGATTCATGGGCGCAAGCGCGAGAGGCACTCTGGACGGAGATCCTGCCCAGTGTCAAGACAGTTCCCGTGCTCCCGAGGGGTAAGGACGTTGTCCCCGACGAGATCTCTCTGGTCAAGATTCATGGGGGCGGCAAGCTCCAGCTGTTCCGCAAGTGGTCCAACTCGTCAATTTGGATCATCCTGGGAGAGACTAGTCCTCAGGAACTGATCGCAGAGCTTGGCCCCCCCAACGCCACATATCGGAAGAACGACCAGAGAATGACAATACACAAGCTTCGGACGGCGAGCCATAGCCGCGCTCGGTCGAACGGTGCTGACCTGAGCCGTCCAGACGACTTGACGGATACCGACCAGTCGTCTGCGAACACAGGCTCAGATGACGATAACGACGAGGCTGTCGAGGAAGACATTGCTGGCAATGTTTCTGGAGAATGTTTCTACAATTACTTTTATTTGGGCTTTGACGTTCTGGTCTCAACGCCGTCTCCGCCGTCGCGACCGCCGCCTGCCCAAAATGAGTCTCAGGTGCCGCCTAGCAAGCCCATCAAGTCAGAGTCTCCTGACCGGCTGGTTGCGACCAAGTTGGTTCTTCACGGCAATGTACCTGGCTCATACGAGTTCAACCGACACCGTAGATGCCGCTGGGAAGTTAGCTACCTAGATGATGGTTCGCCGGGTGCATCGGCAAACTCAGAGACCAAGTTCACCGAGATCAAAGATAGACTGAACGAACGGTGGAGCAGCGCATATCCCGACGGAGACTCAAAGGCTCCCCAAAGAGGTATGGTCCTCAATAGGGGATGGGGGGATAGTCCCGGCAGCAGTTGCGAGTTTCTTGGGGGATGGGAGGACAGCGGCGCCAAGAGACTGGATGGTACAGACGATTCAACCACTACTCTATTTGGATTCCCAGGCCTCGTGTTTGAGGTGCTGAAGAACGATCATGTTAATACGGTCACAGTGTTTTAGGGTTTGAATTGGGCATTAAACCTGGGGTCAGGTGTTATGGTGGTTGTACTGCTGCTTCCATTGAGCCAAGCTGTTGACCAGGGAGACGAGGCCTTGTGTTGGCTACGATATCCCTACACGCAAGATGGGGTTATGCTCAAATCCATATGCCTCTTTAGACACCACCTCCGTTTAGCCTCGTTCTTTGGAGTGCCCGCCAACTCAACATGGAACAGCCATGACGTGTCGGCCAACAGATATCCCATTGGCAAGGCTTCTTCCCCATCCACTTGCAATATTCCATCTGATTTTGCATTTCATGCAAGACAGACATGGGATATTTCAGCTTTGTCCTCGCTTTACTTCTTGGTCTGACTCGGCCTACGTTTCGGGAGTCAAGGGCATTGCCACAAGCACCTACCATGTTGTAAAGCTCCAGCAGCTCCGAACAGGCCGTCCATATTCAACAGCTAACAGCTTCCAGACCCGGCGCCAAAAACAATAAATAAGACAGGTCGAAGCCTGTCAATCACAATCGTTTCTCATCACATCAGCATAGAACAGTACATCCTTTCGAAAAATACCCAGAGATACCCCCAAGAGATACCCATCCGCACCCCCCAAAACCACAGACAAAATGAAGGCACCTCCAGCAGCTCAGAACGCCAAGCAGAACGCGCTGGCGCTTAAGAGATACCTGCCCCGCAAGCTCCGAGAGGCGGCCGAGGACGAAGCCGAGGTGGAGAAGGGCATCGGGCATGACCTGATCATCTACAGCTTCGACCGCCCCAACGGGCAGTACGGCTACACTCCCTTCACGATCCAGCTGCGCATGCGCCTGCGCCACGGCGGCGTCCAGCACAAGGACCGCGCCGCCAACTTCTTCCAGGCCCCCAAGCAGCGCGTCCCGTACGTCAAGCTTGCCGACTCCGACGAGCTCGTCGGCGAGGCCCAGTTCGTCATCCAGCGCCTGGTGCAGACTGGCAGGCTTCCGGACCTCAACAAGGACCTCTCCGCGGCTGACAAGGCCAAGGATGTTTGCATCCGCGCTATGTTGGAGGATCGCGCCTACTTCCTCGTTGTAAGTGGCTTCGCTGGACGAGAGACTATACATGTGAAGAATGAATGCTGATGAGGACTGCAGCTCTACGAGAGATGGCGCGGCCAGTATGAGCAGATGTGGCACGACGGCCCCTTTGCCCACTTCGTCTGGGGCGCGAGACACATCTCGCACCAGATGGCGCGCGGCTACGTCAACTCCCAACTGTACCTGCAGGGCGTCGGCCGCTACACCGACGACGAGGTCAAGACCTTCGCCACGGACGTCGTCACCTCTCTCAACGGCTTCTGCGAGACGGCGCTCTCCAAGCTATCGCTCGACTCCCGCGAGTCCCGCGAGCCTTTCTGGATCCTGGGCGGCCAGAGACCTACCGAGGCTGACTTTGTTGCTTACGGCAACCTGGCGACGGTTCTGGGAACCTCTGTGTAAGTGCAGCATGCCTGCTGGGAGATGGTTTGGTCAAATGGCAGAAGTAGCTAACACGCTTGACACAGCAACCCGGTCCACGCGGCTCTGATCCGCGAGAAGCCCGCCTTGGTCGAGTATATTGGACGGATCCACGAGCGCTACTTCTCCGAGTACAAGTCCCCTGTTCACTCTTGAAGTAAAGGTAGTTTGGTTAGGGTGAGATACCCCGATACCCCCCCAGGACACCCCTAGGACAAGAGGAAAGGTCCGCCGTGTCGCGCGCGCGCCTGCTATTTGGTCGAATTTTCCATATCATATCAAAGTCCTTCGTTGAGAGAGAGAGAGAGAAGTAGGGGGTCCCGAGGAACACGGTTATGGGCTCTTGGCTGGTTCTTTGTGTATTTGGTGTGCTTTCAAACCGTGCTCTCACACAGGAAAAAGAAAAGGGAAGACGGGATTGTGCTTTGTTTTCCGGGAAACCGATATTTGGAAAATGTGGAAAACGGTTTTCCCCGGCCGTTAGGAGCAGGATACTGATGCCTAACTGGAGTCTTTCTGGTCTTCCTAGAGCTTAATTACCCGGTTCGCCAATACTATTGCTGTTTTTTTCATAATTTGTCGTCTGGGATGAAATGTGTACTATGCAAAGCTGGTAAGTGAGATACGTGAGGCGGCATGTTCGATGAATTGCATGAACGAGGCTGCTAGCTCTTCGCAGCAATAGCGGGGGAGCAACCATATCTGAACGAACACCCAATGAGGGGTTCGCCAAGCGGCCATGGCAGATGTCGCAGCAAACCGGGTAGACCCTTTGAGAGAGAGATGCGATGGGCGGTCTGATCCGTCCTCCTCCGTTTAGCGCGGATCGGGTGCCCCGCCATTTTTATTCTTGCTGCGTTAGCGCGGTCGAGTAAAACCGTTTAGAAGTTGGTTGGAACTGGACCCCTCAAAGGAAGAGCACGAGGATGCGGTTGTGATGGGGAATAAAGGAACAGGGAAAACGGGTTGCTGCTGCACAACATGCTTTTCCGCAGCTCGCTTGCGCTTGATGATCGGGGTGCCAGTGGCTCCAGCTGGCAGCTGCCGTCTGTTGTTCCGCGCCCCCCCTGTGAGGAAGGGAAGGTGGACATGGCGTCTGGAATAATGATGTTCCTTTCCGGCACAGTACCGAAAATAGAACACCCGACGCGGCGTACCTAAGCATCGTGACCTTCCTCGTCGAAGTCGGAGGTGCATCTGAAGCGAGGCGCGGGCATAGACATGCTCTCCTCCTATTTTCATTGCCAAGTCATTGGGAATCGCTTGGAATGATATGGCCTTCGACAAGGGTTTCTGGACAAACAGGAGCGAAAAGGGGGCATCGGATATCTAGCCCTAGCATTGTTCGTCATGGCCTGTCTCAGCCACCATCATGAGTGAGAATGCTGTGTAGCTGAAAGTGTCCAGAAATTTGCGTGGAAAGGATATTCATGCCGATGGGACCTCTTCAAGGGAGAAAAGGCAACGGACAGGAGAAAATGGTGATCTGGGATAAAAAGATGGGCGCTCCCTCGTCACCACCCCCCTTCGAAGGCTTCCGCACCCAAGGCATGATCCCCTTGTTCGGACATTCACAGCCTCCTTTCCATCTCCTGCATCCCGGCGACGAAGGCGGACGATGTTGCCAACGATGAGTCCCAAAGTCAGCAGTCCGCTTGTGGCGGCTGGATTCTTGATTTTTATTTGGATAGTCGCGTTGTCGAACACGGAAAGCCCTCTTCCGCATGGCGGAGTGAGCAGCAAAAGTGGCAGCAGTGGCAGCAGCAGTGGTAGCAGCAGCGGCGGCGGCGGCGGCAAGGGTTGGAGGAGTGGTTTTGGCCACCATGTGTTCGGCAATCCCTCGCCTGGACCCGAGTACGACTATGCTGACCTCGCGTTGATGGAGACCTGCAACAAGACTCAGTGGACAGACGGGCTCTGGCTGAGCTGCCACAGCGACTGTGGCCCCAACAAGAAGTCCATCTGCGGAGGACTCAACAACGCCCGGAATCGCCTGCAGATCTGTCTGCGGCTGGCTATCGATATCGGCGCAGGAGTCAGCTTCCCCTACGTGGTATGGAGATGAAATCTACAGGTCCCGCCCGGATGAGACAGAGAAGGCTGACACAAAGGGTTAGACGAAGCGCAACGAGGGCGCGTGGGCCGAAACGGACGCTAATATCACCTGCCCCGATGTGTGGTGGGATATGGAGCGGCTCAAGAAGAAGATGGCCGAGCGGTGTCCCAGGCTGCGCATCAACTCGTGCGCGGAAGAACCGGAGGGGATGAGCCAGGAGATCAACATCCCCAGCAGATATTACCAGCACAGGCCGCACTTCAACGAGACGTGGCGCATGCTCGTAAACGACACGCTGAAGAACAACAAGGTCACGCTGAGCAACGTGACGGCGCAGAACCAGCTGCTCCTGCGCTACTCGGACAGCCACGTCGCGTGGAGCTACCGCGACTCGGGCGAGATCCCGACGCTGCGCAAGGCGCTCTTCAACGCGCTGTCGTTCAACCGGACGCTGCTGGCCATCGGCGAGGAGCTGGCGCTGTCGGAGGGCCTGCACGGCGGCAACTTCATCGGCATCCACCTGCGCGCCGAGAACGACTGGCCGGCGCAGTGGGGCACGCCCGAGCGGCAGATGGAGCAGCACGCCGCCGAGGTGCGCAAGACGAACCGGGAGGCGGCCGGCCAGCCGACGCGGACGGTGTACGTCAGCTGCGCGGACCGCGACGTGATCCAAAAGTTCCGCGACATCCTGGCCGTGGACGGGTACACGGTGACGGACAAGTGGACGCTGTTCGCGGACCAGCCCGAGAAGCTGGCGCTCGTGGAGAGCCTGGCGTTCGACGAGAAGGCGATTATCGAGTACGCGGTGCTGCTCAAGGGCCGGTACTTCCAGGGCAACCTGATTTCGACCATGTCGTCGCTCGTGGCGTACGCGCGCACCAGGGACCAGCCCGAGGAGTTTTTCTCGACCTACATCTACCCGAACACGATCAAATGGGGGATAGATAGGTTCTACAACGAGCCGTTTACGATGAAGGGCGATGAGCATACGAAGGAGTTTGTAATCAGCGGGCAGGACATTATGGATGCTTTTCCTTGAGCAATAGAGATTTCGCGTGCCATGGCGTTACTGGGGAACATCGGACTTGAGGCTGCAACAGAATATTACCTAGATTTTTTAGATGTCACCTCTGAATGAAGCTGCCCGCCATCTGCCCCGTACCTTAACCTTTGGTTCTTCCCTGAATCCTCCGGAGTAACTGGATGATCCGCGCCGGCGATTGCCGAACATACGGTGGAGAAGCGGTGTGGAGCGGAGGTGCAGCGGGTGGGGAAGAAGCGGCAAGCGAGAAGGCAATTTTAGCGCGACCTGGGTGAGTGGGTGCTCTGTTGCTTGGTTCTCTGGTGCTTGGTGCTACGCCACGGCAGAGCTAGCTGCCAAGTACCAACTGGAGAAGGACAAGAGGGAGCTTCTCTCGGGAGTCTGGTTTGCGGCTTGCTTGTCACTGCACTCTTCCC